GTGGCATACACACACACACACACACACACACACACACACAGAAATATTATTCAGCCCTGAGAAAGAAGAAAATCCTACCATTTGTGACAACACTGGTGGACCTTGAGGGCATTATGCTAAGTGAAGTAAGTCAGAGAGAGAAAGACAAATACTATATGATCTCACTTATAAGCGGAATCCAAAAAAGCTGAACTCAGAAAAAGAGAGTAGAATGACAGGGCTGTGGGGTGGAAGAAAAGGGGCGATATTAGTTAAAGGGTACAAACTTCCAATTATAAGATGAATAAATTCTGGAGATCTAACGTACAGCACAGTGATTATAGTTAATGATATTGTATTTTATATTAAAAAAAAAAGTTACAGACCAGCAGAAAATATGTGCAGACCATAGACCTGACAAAAACCTTGTATTTAGAATATATAAAGAGCACGGAACCCTGCTGGCTCAGTTGGTTAGGCTTCCGACTCTTGGTTTTAGCTCAGGTCATGATCTTGGGGTCGTGGGATAGAGCCCCATGTCAGGCTCCATGCTGGGTGTGGAGCCTGCTTGAGATTCTCTCTGTCTCTCTCCCTCTGCTCCTCCCCACCACCCTTCCCCACCCCCACTCACACTCTCACTCACTCTCTTCCTCTCTTAAAAAAAAAAGTATGAAGAGCTCTCAAAACTCAACAGGAAAAACCAAACAATCCACTTAGAAAATGGGCAAAACACATGAACAGGAATTTCACTGAAGAGGTCAGACAGCTGGCAAATAAGCACATGAAAATATGTTCTATATCATTAGTCATTAGGAAAATGCAAATTAACACCATAGGAAGAGGTTAGTACACACCTATCAGCGTGGCTAAAATAAAAAAATTGTGACAACATAAAATGTTGGCAAGGATGTGGAGAAACTGGATTGCTCATATGTTATTGGTAGGAATGAAAAATATACATAATACAACATATATACAAATGAATATGTATAATATGCATATGAATGTTCATAGCAGCTAAATTCATAATAGTCCCAAACTGGAAACAACCCATTGTCCTTCAACAGGAGAGATGGTTGAACAGACTCTGGTCCCCGCATGCCATGAATACTAGCCAGCAACAGAAACAAACAAGCTACGGATACGCACGATGACCTGGATGACTTGCCAGAGAATTATGCCGAGTGGGAGAAAAAGCTAATCCCTGAAGGTTATATGCTATACTTCCCATTTATATAACACCTTGAAATAACAACATTGCAGAGATGGAGAACAGATTTCGTGGTTGACAGGGGTTAGGGATGGAGATGTGGGTAGCGAGGGAGGTTTCAGCCACACAAATCTACACATGCGGTAAAGTTGCATACACACACACACACACGAACACTTGTAAACTGGTGAAATCTGAACAAGTTCTGGATTGCACTGATGTCAATTTTCTGGTTATTGTATTATTGTACTAGAGTTCTACAAAATGATACCACGGGGAGAAACTGAGAGAAGGATCCCTGTGACCTCTCTGTTGGTGTGTTGTTGTTGCTGTTTTTAACAACTTCCTGTGCATCTGTAAATACGGGCAGGTAACGGCAAGGTTGGAGGGCTTCATGCCTTTCAGCCCCCAGAGCCAGGATTCCCTTCATGAGCCCCAGGGCCTACGTGCAGTCATAAGAGCAAAAGGAGAAGCTGAGGCCCGTAAACTCTTGTTCTGGGTCCCTGGTGGCAGTGAAGCTATATAAATCAGCCTTCAGGACCCCAAAAGCAGTGCTGGCCCCCTGGGACCGCCTGCCTCTTCTCTGTGGCTGAGTGGGGTGGGGAAGTGGGTGTGTGCGCAAGAGTTGGGTCTGACTCCAGCCCACAGCAGCCCTCTCTGGCTCTCCCCATCCCAGGGTTCAGGAGGGCGCTGCTCATCATGTGGGACCAGTCCTGGGGGGTTACCCCTCCCAGCAGGGAGCAGGGCTAGGGACTAAGAACTGGGTATCTATCTGCTCTCCGCACACCAGGCTCTGTAAAGGCTCCATCCTGAGTATGGGTCAGACGGTGCCCTATCCTTGCGCTGGGGCCTCCCAGTCCAGTACCCCAATTCTACTTCCACAACCCGACAGCTGGGTATCTGCACAGACTTCCCGTCCCACCTGGGAAACGATACTGGTAGGGTTGGACCAAGTTTACCAACAGGCCCCGCGGTCAGGGGGAGGGGCGGTGCAAAGGTTGTTGACTTGCTGTGTGTTCTCGGTAAGAACACTGTCCCTCTCTGGGCTGCAATGTTCCAGGAGCTGTTGGACTTTGGTACCTGGGCTTTCCAGAATTCGGCCAGCCCGGCACGGGAAGCAGCGGAGGAAACGCGGCGCACGGCCACCCCGCGCCGATGTCCCTCGGGGGTTGGCGGGGGTGGTGAATCAGCTTCCGGCCCCGCCCCCAGGGCGGCACGTGACCGCAGGTGGCGGCGGCGGGGTGGGCGGGGCGGCATGAGTCACCAGCCCGTAGCCGCCGCGGGTGCGCTTCGCTCCGCCAGCGCGGCTTTCCTTGCCGGCTGTGCCCCGCGCCCGCGCCCGCCCGGTAAGCGAGTCCCGGGCCGCGGCCCCGGATCCCGGGCCCGCCAGCCGCGCTTCCCCGAGCCTCCTCCGGGCAGCCCTCTCGGGTTGCGGGGTCGTGGCGCCCTCAGATTTTAAGACCCCCGCGCCCTTCCCGGAAGCTGCCGGAATGCGGGGCGCCGCCGAGCTGGTCTAGCGGCCATCCCGAGTTGTGCCCCGCCACCCCCACTCTTGGAAACTTCTGGGAAGTTCCCTGCCTGCCCTGGTTCCTCCCAGAAGTTGCCTAGGACTTTAGGCAGCCCCACAGTTCCTCCGGGTTGCGGGTCCCGCCCCCCGGCCCCTACTGAGAGAGGCACACCGCGCCCAGGCGTGGGTCCCGCCCCGCCATCTCGCCCACTGCCGCCCCACCCCCGCCCTGTCGCCCCTCCCCGGTCCCGCCTGCACCCTGCCCTGACCTCTGCGTTCACTTGGCCTCTCCCGCAGGCTCCCTATGGGCAGAGCTCTTGAGGCACAGGTGGAGCCCCAGAGTGCGCTGGGCCGAAGTCGGGCCGGAGTCCGGAGCCCGACCTTGCCGAGTGCTCTGTCGCCCGCCCACCCCGCCACAGGCGTCGGGGCAGTGGCAACATGGCCTTCTCCCAGGTGCAGTGTCTGGACGACAACCACGTCAACTGGCGCTCCAGTGAGTCCAAGCCCGAGTTCTTCTACAGCGAGGAGCAGCGGCTGGCCCTGGAGGCCCTGGTGGCCCGCGGCAGGGAGGCTTTCTATGAGGTGCTGAATCGGGAGAACATTCGGGACTTCCTGTCGGAGCTGGAGCTCAGGCGCATCCTGGAGACCATTGAGGTGTATGACCCAGGCTCCGAGGATCCGAGGGGTGCCGGCCGGCCCCGGGGTCCTGAAGACAATGGCGTTGGCGACAGCGAGGAGGCCAGCAGGGCGGGTGGGGACCCCATTGAGGCCGAGCCACTGCCCTCTCTGGAGTACTGGCCCCAGAAGTCGGACCGATCCATCCCCCAGCTGGACCTGGGCTGGCCTGACACCATCGCCTACCGTGGTGTGACCCGGGCCAGTGTCTACATGCAGCCCCCCATCGATGGGCAGGCCCACATCAAAGAGGTGGTGCGAAAGATGATCAGCCAGGCCCAGAAGGTGAGCCAGCTGCTGGGGGGGGGGTGGTCCCCCCGAGGGGAAGCCGGTCCCCAGCATCTCTGCCAATTCAGTGCGCGTTCACTCACAGCACCAATACGGAGACCGAAACACCGTCCCCCCGTGGTTCTCTTTGCCTGCCTCCTCCCCTGCCCTCCTGGGATTCCTCGGTGTCTTTGCACAGGGATAGGGTACCTGCGTCCTCTGGCGGGTGACCATGGGCTGCCCCATCTCAAAGGGCCTTTGTGCATTGTTGGGGGGCGGTGCGCATTCTGATTTCCCCAGACCCGGCAGGCAAGCAGTTTCTCCAGAAGAAAGTGCTGTGATGGGGTGGGGCAGGGAGGAATCTCGGGGTTTTCTCTCACTTACTGTCCCTCGACAGGACTCTGATTCATTCCTGCGAAGCAGGAAGCTCTCACGCACGCCGTGAAACACTGTTGTTGCTTTTCTTGGGTGGTGGAGAGAGTCTGGAGTGGTGGAGGAGGCACGGAGACTAAAAAGTAGCCTGGGTCCATCTGAGGCTGGCCTGGAGGTCCAAGTTCAAATGTGTCTATTTCCTGGCTGCGCTGGGCAGCAGAGAGTGACTTGCTCACCCTCTCTGAGCCTCTTTGTGAGCTTTGTAATGCAGAATCTTCCCAGGCTGGGATGTAGGGGGCGGGGATGGTCCTTGGGTGGAAGCGCAGTGAAGTCAGCTGAGGGTTGCCCACCTGGGTTGAATTCTGCCAGTGAAAGGACCCCAAGGGTTGCTTCTTCTCTACCCCGGCCACGATGGGCAGCATTCCTGGTGTGGGTAGTCATTCTCAGCCGACACACTGACGCACATCCTGAGAAGGGGTGCTCACCACGTGCCGAGCCAGGCCATGAGCTGGTGCGTCTTCCTGCCGAGGGGAAGTGCCTTCCCGTGGTTTCAGAGCACATCGCGAGCTGATTGATAAAGCCTGCCCAAGCGAGCTGTGCTGAGAAAGATTCTGAGACCAGGTCTGAGCTCAGTAGAGGGTGGTGACTGATTAGCAACGTCTGTGCTGGTGGAGGTATTTCTAGCAGAGTCTAACCCTTTGCCAGGCCCAGAGCAGGGCAGCAGATCGTACGAGCCCAGAACGCTGGCTTTGGGGACCATCCTGGCTGACAGGGCCTGGGGAAACTCTTAGGCCGAGAAACCAGAAGTGGGTCAGGAGCTGACAAGGTGGCCATGGGTTAGGTTTCTAGAAAGGTGGAGTGCCTGTCCCCTGAGGGGGCTGGCAGAGTCGGAGAGCCTGTGTCTCGGAGCCTGGCTCTCGGCCTGATCCCAGGCAGCTTTGGGGTTTGGGTTTCTGGTGTGTAAAGTGGAGGTGAGGACGGAGCTGCGTCTTTGGCCGTTGTGAAGATGGAATCGGGTGACCGGAGTGAGGAAGAGTTGCAGGAAGAGGAGGGAAAGTGGGAGGAGGAAGGGGCCTTCGTAGCCCTTGGGCTGAATAATCCGCCCCACAGCTGCTAGGGGGTAGGCAGGTAGAGCTGACGTCATGTCTGACTTGAGGTCGTGGAACCCAGTCCTCTGGGAGGGCCTGTTGGGATCCCATGACCCCTTTTTTAAAAATGGGGAAACTGAGGCCCTGACCTGCTGTGCCAGGGTTCTGCCTCCTCCACCCGTCTCCTCCCCACCAGGAGTAGGAAGGAGACTGGCACCAGATCCCTGCTCGGCATGGGAACGGCCAGCAAGTCTAATCTGCCCCAGACAGGAAGACTGATGGCCTGGCCCAGTGATGGGGCCAGATAGGGGCACCCAGGGCCAGGCTGGGCAGCAGGGCATCCTCCCCACGTGTCTGTGGCCAGGGCTGAGACCCAGCCACCCCATGCAGTCCCGTGGGCCTCTTGTAACTTCATTTGCTCCCCACAAAAGCCCCACCAGGCTGTTGGCGTCGCCTGTCTAAGGTGACATGGCAGGGTGAGGTCCATCTCGGGTTGGAACCCCGGTCTGTGTGGTACCACCGTCGGCGGGGCCCCCTGACCAGCTGGCATTGCTGCCTGACCCCTCTGAGAATGGGGGCCCACTGCTGAGACTGCCTGCTACTCTCGGACCCAGCAGGAGGATCTGGGGTCTTTCAGATGACAGCACAGAGAAGAGGGACTTGTTCACACCCCCAGCGCCATGGTGATCCACGCCCCTGCTTTCCATCCTTTGTGCTTCCCTGTCACATCCATCCAGGGACCCGAGGCCAGCTTGGTGTGTGGGGGGGGGGGGGGGGGGGGGGGCGGGCGTAATGACACTAGCTACTGGTTTTTGAGCGTGAGGCACTTCATCATTTCAGCCAGTGGGATCTGCCCATTTTCCAGATGTAGAAACTGAGGCCCGACTGGTTCGTCCCTGCCGATGTCACCTAGCTAGTTCTTGGGTGGCGGGGTGGGGACCAGGCCTGTGTTGTCCTTAGACTCCAGGACGGGTCCCCTGCCCATCCTGGCCTTGACAGAACACGGTGACAGGCAGGGCAGGGAGGGGCAGCTCGGCCACGCGGCCTGCAACCCTCCCGTCTGCCCTGCTCCTGCGGCTTCCCAGGCTCCAGCGCTGGGCCGAGCCGCTGACGGATGCTGACGGCGGTTGCTGACGAGGTGCTTTGCCTGGCCTGCCCGCCCGCCGCCCCCGGGAGCTCTGCCTGCCTTCTCTCTCCCCGTGAATCACCTCTTTACCTTCGCCCCCGTGTCCTCCCCCACCCCCCCAGCAGCAATGTGAGGAGAACACTCCGCCCTCCCCAGGCCTGGGATGGGGGGCCCGCTGTCCGGTTGCTTGGCCCGAACACTGACCCCCTGCCCACCGGGGCACCTGGGCTGGGGCTGCTGGTGCTGACTCAGGGCGGCCCGGCCCACCTCCTCCTCCTCCTCTGCCTGGCCCGTCAGCACGGCAGGCAGACCCTGGGGCAGGGAAATGACATAGCACACACTCAGCCCGTCCCAGCGTGGCCGCCAGGGAGAGGCTGTGTTCCCGGCGAGGCTGCTGAACTCCCCCCTTTCCCAAAACACTAGAACGAAACTAGGGGGCCACAGTACAAGGAGCCCAGAGTCCCTGCTCTTCCTCCACTGCTGGGGGACCCGGGACAAGCCCCAGCTCTTCTCGGAGCCCCAGTCATCTCATCTGTAGAATGGGTACGGGCACTGAAGATTGGGTCCTGGGTCTAACTGAACTGGCTCTACGGCGCTGAGCAGGCAGCCTGTGCTCTGTGAGCTGTCTTCCAGCCCCAGTGGGCTCTAAGTGTCTGAGACAGAGCCCCCCCTCCTCCCCGGGACCAGTGATTTACCTGGGGAAAAACCTGCTTCGGGGTTCCAACTGCATACCAGAGGTCGGGCCTGTAGCATCATGCCTAGGAGGGATGAGCCCCAGCCTTGCTTGACTGCAGCCTCCGAGAGAGAGGGGTGAGGCTGGGCTGGGTCCTGGAGGGGGCTGCGGTGGCGGGGGGTGCCCCCAGCAGGCCCCTAGTGGGATCCCTTCGCCAACCCCAGACAGTCCGGGGAAGCTCCCAGGGGCAGGGGTGAATCGTGTGCAGGTGAGGACACTGAGGGAGTACGAGGGAGAGTGAGTGTGCAAGGCTGGACTAGAACCCACTTCTCGTGCCTGCCGGGTCCGGGCTTGGGAACGGAGACCCAGAGAGGTTCAGTTTCTTGCCTCGGGCTACGCAGCAGCAAGAGACTGGAACCAGGTTTCCTGATGCCTGATTAATCGCGCAGTCTTTCCTGTCAGCCCCCTGCCTTCACACGCTGATGTCCTGGCTCACGGCTTGGCTCCCGGAGAACAAAAGCAGCTTGATGAGGCGCTCATTAAATGCCAGGTACATGCCAGGTGCTGAGCGGGCACTTTACCTACACTGGAACCCTCCCAGCGACTGCGTAAAGGACACATTGCCTCCTCAGTGCGGATGAGGAACCCGAGGCTTGGTGCAGCTCAGAGACGGCAGACGTCTTGGAGGAACTGGGCCCAGAACCTAGTCTGCAGGCTCTGAGCCTCTTGTCCCCAGGGGAAGCGGCGTCTTGGCTGGACTCTGGGCCCTGCCCCTAATGGGAGCATTGGTGCCTGGTTGCTGCCCCCAGCTTGACTCAGGACAGTAAAAGCCCTTTCATGAGGCTGCTTGTCCCCATCAGGCTCCCAAACACTGGGCTCTCCCGAGGAGGGGAGGGGGTGCGGTGGGGGGCTGGTAGAAGTATGACCACACCGGGACTGGGGAGAACAGGGCGACCGGAGGCTGAGACCCCTGCAGGTCCCTCTGGAGCAGGAGGGAGGGCTCTCATTCCCCTGAGCTCAGTGGCACCGAGGCTGTCCTCTAGAGGCCCCAGGGATGGCCCATTGCGCTGTTCCCAAAGTGCATGTGGCGTGCGCTGGACCCTGGAAGGAGCAGGGGCCGGGCCCAGGCTCAGGCTGAGAAGTGACAGAGGTGCATCCTGCCTGCTCCAGCAATTCCCAGCCCAGGCCCAGGGCCTTTGCCTGCCAGGTGGGGAACAATCTGATAACATAATCCCAGGTGTCAGCTCCATCCTCTCCAAAGGCTTCCTACCCGACGGCGTTTGCATCTAATTGAGAGTTTGAAGAGAGCCAGGAGCAGCTCTGCCAGGAAGGAGGGCCAGCACCTCGGGGCCTGGCGCATGCTGCCAGCCTCCTGCAGCCGACCTCCCTCCAGGGACCCTGTCGTATTCATGTCCCAGATGAGGATACTGAGGTTAGGGCGCTAAGAGCGGGCCAGGGCCTGCTGGCCTTCACCGGAGGGTCTCTGGTCTGGCGGGCCTGCATGGCACTCCTGGTCTCCCGGGTTCGTCAGGCTCATCCTGAGGCCGAGAGTCCTTCCGGCTGGGCCAGCAGAAAGGGGCCGGTCCTCTCACAGTCCCCTGGTTCTCCTGTCCGGCTCAGCCACCCCCTTGCTGCGTAGCCTTGGGCCTCAGTTTCTTCATCTGCAAAATGGGGATTGGACACTTGTCTTGCAGCAGTAACAGTGGTGAGCACCCATGAGCTCCTGAGTGATCCGAGGATGCTGAGTGCGGGGCAGGGC